CTGACTTTTCAGCAGTAAGCATATATTTCTTTTATAGTTAGGAGAGAATAAAACAAGCAACAAAAAGGAAACTGTAACCGGTGTTCACTTGATGTTTTGACTATACCCTTGTGGCTTTGATACTCACATGTTTTTTCTTTTTCCGAGTCTTCTTTTCCCTAAACTTCTCCTACCTGATCTCTCCTCCCTGATCTCATTTTCTCTGAATCACTTCTATAGAAGCCCGCTATTCCTGCGGGTGGGCAGAATCACAGCCTTTGAAACAGGAATCCCCTGTATTTCTCCTTTGCTAGTAAAGCAATAAACCTCCTTTTTCCTTTCTCTAAAAACCATGTTGGGACAAGGACCACGCTTTCAGCAACAAAAGGATTCAGAACATTTTGGGATTCAAGATTTTTTTCTGCTTGTTGGGCTGTGTTTTCGCATACAAGACTATGGGCATTTAGTGGATCCCAACTAATCCCGCAGCGGGCAGGGGGCCTATCTCAGCCCGCAGGGGGGCAGGCGGGCAGGCGGGAACACTGGATGGGCTCAGGGTGGGGACAAAACTGAAGAACAACTACGGAGGGGAGGGGCGTGGGAAGGAGCTGGGAGCCCTCTCTGCAGGCACCCCAAATCCTCCCAGTGTGGAAGAGACCCCGCCTCACTCCCAGGGAGCACCCAGACCTCCAAAGACAGAGTCCTCGGAGCCTGGACTCAGCTGCCTGGAGGCCCCACAGCCTAGTGCACGCGGCTCAAAGACCAAGGAAGGCTCAGCAACCCTCCAGCCTTGGTTTCCTTCCTATAGCAGGTTCCAGTAGATGTGCCAGGTCCATTTGCTGGGAGGAGGAGATGAAATGGAAGTGGGCGTGTGAAGCCCTGGGTCCAGGGCCCATGCCAAGTTCACGTAAGATGTTCCTGACTGCTTCAGGGCCAGGGTGTGGCTCAGTGGGACAGCACCCAAGTGGAGGTGCCGGGTTCAATCCCCAGCACACGAGACAAAACAAACGTAACTTTAAAACAAAGGCAAGGACTGGGATTCTATGACTGTGTCATAATATTTATGTCCCTTTAGGCCAGTGGTGAGGCTTTTTAAATCAGGGTATTCTTTGCAGGAAGAATTTAGTGACTATGTGGTACAGTATAGTATATAAAAATACAAGGACACTCTGGCAAGAGAAACAGGAGTGAACTTTCTGTCTCGAACAACTCGTGTTCACAAGTCTGCTTGTCACTTCTCCAGAGTTCTGGGTACACAGCACAGAGGCTGTGGCCACTGCCCCGCCACAAGAACAGTGACTTGTTCTCCTGTGTCAAGTGTTGGAGGTGGGTGACTTGAGTTGGAGCTACAGCAGCAGCAGTAACCCCTGAACTCAGGGGTGTGCCTGTGGGTCCCAGAATCCTGGGATACCTCTTCTCATCCCGAGCCCCTGGGGGCCATCTTGACTGCACCATACCCTTATCTCCAGAGACTGGTTGGTTTTAAAATCACTGATGTGCAAATAATTCCTGGAATTGTGATGAGGAGCTCTGGGTGGCGCCTAGACTATTTTTAACCCATACTCTAGTCTGGGACCAGCTGTGGCTCTGCAGGGCACAGGACAACACCTGCCATCTACCCTCAGCAAGAGCAGCTTTATCTGTTTTGTGTCTTTCCTGAATATAACACTGTGTCTCCAGCATCCTGCCACGTTGGGCAAATGGTTCATGTTGGAGAAAACCTTTTAAAAAATAATTTTCTGACAGGATGTTTCAAAAAGCCGGCATCTTCAGGCTCACTCTGAAAACTCTGCAAAGTACCTGGCACCTGAGAACGAGGGGCCCGAGCCATGAATTTCGGGCACACACTCCCCAGGAAATGTCATCTGTCTAAGCTTCCTTCATGTGACATATGCAGCTATAAGAGGAGACTCTAAGTCCTTTCGTGCACCTCCAGAGCAAAGGGCAAGGTGAGACTCCCCCTCTTTTGAAAGACCTAAGCCAGCACATATAGGTTGCAGCTGGCAACTTCAGATCCCAGGACTGCCCCGGGGACCCACCCGGGCAGCCTAGGATGAGTGACAGGCAGGGGAGACGGGGAGGCGTGCCTGGCCTCAGCCGTCACTGCTCTACACCAGTTTTCTAACAAAATGTAAAAATATTCTCTCGATGAGATCCTAGGGTGGCCTGGTGTGGTGGGCTGGACAGTGGCCTCCAAAGGCCATACCCACGTCCTAGCCCCTGGAACCTGTGGACATGACCTTGTGTGGAATAAGTCTTGGCAGAGGAATGGAGCTAAAAATCCTTAGCTGGGAGGTCATCCTGGATTAGCCAGGTGGGCCCGGGGTCCAGAGAGAAGTACCTCCACAAGAAACGGAAGAGAAGGCCGGTGAAGACAGGGGCAGCCATCAGGATTGTCGGGAGCCCCCAGGAGCTGAGGAGGCAGGAAGGCGCTCCCGTAGAGCCTCAGGGGAGCCCAGCCTGCCAGGCCTTGGCTTTGGACTGCGCCCGCTAACACTGTGAGGGAACAGATTCCCGCTGTTTGAGGCCACCCAGCTCCTGGTGTTTTGTCACTGAGCATGGAACACGAAGGTGCCTACATAGTGAGTTCTTTCTGTGCTTCGTCCTTACTGCTCACATCTCCAGCCAGGGCGGTAAGCAAGCCTGCGTTGAACCTCCTTTGTGTGATTCAAAACATTCCCTTCTGGTAAAAGGAAAGCACACTGACCCTGAGGAGATTTCAACTGTGTGTGGTGCACGCCCCTCATCCCAGGGACTCAGCAAGCTGCTGTAGGAGGACCACAGGTTTGCGGCCAGCACTGGCAACTTAATGAGACACTGTCTCAATAAATAAATAAATAAACAAAGGAATAAATAAATAGGCTGGGGTTGTAGCTCAGGAGTAGAGTTTGCCTAGCACACGTAAGATCCTGGGATCGATCCCCAGCACTACAGGAAAATTAAAAAAAAAAAAAAAAAAGCCTCAGAACTACATGTGATGGTGAATGACACCATCTCCACATGCCAGTCATTTGGGGTTACTGATTAACGCTCTAGTTGTGTCTCACCAGTTGGCCTGGCAAAATTGGTAGTTGCGGCTTATCCTGCCTCATTTATATGTTGAGTTTGTTGAAATCGCCACCACATCCACATGAGGTCCTGTCCGTGGCATTTCATTGAGTGGAGGTGCTAAAATTGTTTACCAAGGGCTGTATTCAGGCTTATGTCTGACAAGGCCACAGTGATCCTTGCCGGCATTGACATGCTTCTGTCATTGACATGCTTGTGTCACTGTGTGGTGACTTTGGGGTAAGGGGTGTAGGTACATGGTCTCCCCAACGATCACCACCCATTCTCCAAAGGAGACACACCAATTTGCATAACAGGAGGTCCTCCAGATGCTTAAAAGAATGTGTGTCCTCTCAAATAGCCCAGACTCTCTGAAAAAACAGCTTTTTTGGTCAACACAGGTACTCACGGCTCAGACTCCCATCAGGAGCCTGGAGCCCTAGGCTGCCCCCTTTTGACTCTTCCTGAGCACCTCCCCACCTGAGCACCTCGTGCAAACGGCTTCGTGGGCTCCTGTGGCCCCGAGACATTCTAAGGACAATGGCAGCCACCATACAACTGTGACTGGGGTAGTGGTGGCTGGCCTGTCCCTCTCCCTCCCTTCACTCTTGCCCCCATAGTCTACTCTCCAGAAGGCAGCCAGAGTGCAAGTTCGAGTGGACACTCCAAACAGTCCAGTGGGTTCCCAGCTCATGCAGAGTAAGATCCACAACCCCCGTCATGGCCCCCACAGCCCTGCAACCTGTCCGTCAGCTGTCCCTCCAACCTCAGGTTCCACAGCACATGCTGCACTCTAGCTGGAGCCCTGGACACTCCTAGGTGATGAAGGGGGGATGAGGGCGGGTGACTAGGGACACCAGTGCCTGGGGTGAGGGGATGAGGGGACTGGGCTGGTGATGGCAGCGGTAATGGACAGGTACATTCTGCTTCCATGTTCCTGCAAAGGCTCAGGCCTCCTGCACAGGCCATCTCCCCTCTTCCCGAATCTGGCTTTGCCAGTCCACTGTGGAGGGACCGGCACCAGCCTTCTTCTCCAGAACCAACTGCCCAACTGGAGAAGGTTTTAATTTTAAGGTCCACGTAACTGACCCTATCAACCACCAGCTTCCAAGTACCAGGAAGACCCCCTTAACGATAATGGCCCTTATCCTTATGTGTCAGCTGGTCCACACAGGGCTTTGGTCTGGATTGGTCTGAATCTCTGGCAACTGCGCATCCTGTCTGCTCTCTGATCAAGGCTTTCTGAGACACCTTGGGCCCAAGACTCCACCAGCTCCTGGGTGAAGGCAGCTCCCTCCTGACTCAGGTCCACCCTCCTGTTCTTACTTCCTCATTTACTTATTTATTTATATTTGGTCCTGGGGATGGCACCCGGGGCCTCATGCACACCACATCTGTGTGCTACCAGTGGGCGACGCCCAGCCTGCGCCCTATCTAGGTGGCAGGCTGTAGGCCAGGGTCTCCTGGCGCTGGTTAGCATCAGAGTTGGAGCTCTCAGAGGCCAGCTTCCGGCCCTGGGACAGACAGTGAGACCAACGGCTTCTCAGATGGTGGGCTCCACCTGAAGCACTGCTCTCTTGGGTTTCTGTGGCACTGCATTCTGTGGGCTCTCTGCAGGCCCCTCTATTTGATTTCTGTCCTTCATGGGGGGTCCTTCTTCTTTCCTGCGTGTTTGACAAGCTGGGGAGCCCTGTCCTCGCCCACTCCCTCCCTCCCACCTTCCACAAACTTCCGTGGGTGTCAGTCACCACTGCTGTGCCCATGTCCTCTGAACTGATTAGTACTAGGTGCCAAAAAAGCTGGCTGGTGGTGACTGCCCCACAGCTGGGCCCACCTTCAGATGCCCCCCAGGGCTCCCGGCTCACACCTGGCAGCTACATCCCCTCTAGCCCCCTCGGCACGGTTTGAAACGCCCACCCAATCCTGTAACCACCCTTCCTGTTCCAGGTTCATGCCCGGCAGGTGGCACTTACTCCCAGGTACTCTGTCGTCAGAAGCTTCTCTCCTGAGAGTTCTCCCAGCTGGGGTTGGATCAGTTCGTCTTTGTCCAGATCAGCTTCCATGGTGTCATGGTCCTCCTGCGTCAAAGAGACGGGGTGAGTGTTGTGGACACCCTGCCTCCGGCCCCAGAGGGAGGCTCCCCAGAGCATTAGCCCAACACCGCAACTCGTGGGTCCCAGGCCCATCTGCCCTCTATGTGGAGATGGGTGGGGAGGCCAGAGAGCCCCTGGGATCCGGCGGGGCGAGCACTTCCCAGGGGTAGTGTGAAGAGGCCCAACATGGCACTGCAGCCTCTCTCAGCCACAGTCCTCGGGTTCCTCTCCACGGCCAAGGCCCCAGGGCAGTGGCCAAACCAGTCAATCTACAACCAGTGTCAAGCACTTTCACATGCACAGGCCTCGTGGGGGCTACAGACGTATGGGACAGCTTTGTTCTCCTCAAGTCAGTCACGGTCACCAAGAAGACAATACGCGGGGCTCAGGCAAAGAATGTCATCCTGTAGAAAACGTCTCCATAAGATGAACACGTTGTGTCAGCACTGTGGCTCCAGGCCTGCCACCTTCAGATCTCGCCCTGCGGCAGACGCAGAGGACTGCCCAGCACAAGAGGCCAAGGCTGGAAGGTGAAAGGCCACTGGTAGAGTGAGACGTCTAAAAATCGCACAGCCCAGATTCAGACATGGCCTCTGAGGAAGGACACTGCCTCCACCCAGGAGGGCAGCTGCCGAGGTACCAGCGGCTGAGGATGGCCACTCACGGAGGGGGAGAGAAGCGAGGAGGAGAGGGAAGGAGAAGAGCCGTTTAGCTTCAAGGAAGATGCAGTGGACCTGTGTCCCTCCTCCTCCTGCCAAGTCAACTAAAACACTGGCCACTACACTTAAACAGAAGACCCTGAAACATGGAGAAGGAGGCAGACCAGCGAGGGACTTTGGGACCCCAGGAGTGACAGACGAGGGCTTGGTTTTCTTCTTGCCTCATCCACGTCAGACTTGGAGCTGAAGAAGCCAGCAATCAGGAATGCCAAGGAAGACAAACGTCCCCTACAGCCTGCTCCCTCTAGCCCAGAGACCAGGAAAACGGGAATCGGACATGAAAAAAACACCATAGAAAGTAACCAACACTGTAGTCCCACCCCCGACAGAGCCTGCAAGGGCCTGGGGATCCTCATCTTCCGCCCTCACTGTGGTAAGGCACCCCACACCTTGTGTGGGGGGGGCACCAGAGAAGCCGAGCAGGGAGATTCCGTCCCTGCTGGGCAGTAATGAAGCCCTCATGCCCAGTGTGGGCCCCTTCCTGTACCTGAAAGTAAGTGGTTTCTCTCCATCTTCCTGCTGGGAGAAAAGGCCATGTTGGGGACCAAGCGGGGACCCAGAACTCCTGCCCCCATTCTAAAGTAATGAGGGAACCCCACCTTCCAATATGGAACCTGGAATTCTACCCACACCTTTCATTAAGGAAGGAGTCTGTGCGTTAGTGACAAGGTAGCGTCAGAAGAAACCAGCTAAAACAGAAGTTCAGATAAGATCCAGCACCTTACAATACCCCAAATGTCCAGGTTCAAACTTAAGACAAATCCCTCATCACATCAAGAACCAGGGAGATTGCTAATCAAACGGAGAGAGAATCCCTAGATGCCAATGTTAGGTGACAGAGATATCAGAACTATCTGACATAAATGTTCACGCAGCTATCATAAAAAATGCTTCCATGAATAATCACAAATGCTCTTGAAACATAAGGCTCAAGAATTCAGAAAAAGAAGAGAAAAATAACACCAAAGCAAGCAAATGGAAGAACATAATAAAGGGCAGAAGGAAGAGAAGAAAAACAGAAAAGCAACAGAGAACATGGATGAAAAAAAAGAGCTGGTACTTTTATTTAGGATTAATGAAATTGACAAGACTGCCAAAGAAAAAGTCAAGACTCAAATTACCAGTGTCAGGAAAGAAACAGGGGCTGTCAATACAGACCTGCAGGTATCAAAGGGATCATCAGGAATTCCCACAAACAACTCTACACACAAAGTTTGAGGACTTAGAGCAAAAACACAGACTCTTCAACAGGTCTCTCAACATGGAGTCAATAATGTGCACGGTGCTAGGAACATTAAGGAAGCTGGACTCATAACTTGAAAATACTTGTAAAAGAAATCTCCAGGCCTGTGTGGATTCACTTGAGAATTTTATCAAACTTTTAAAGTAATACCAAGTCAAATAACCAAAGGAAGAGACGTTTCTTACTTCATTTTATGCAGCTAGTATTATCCCGGTACCAAAATCAGAGAGAGGTAATACCAAAAAAGAAAAGCACAAACACCCCTCATGAATATAGCATAGAAGTCCTTGACAAATAAGGCAATATATTCATAGATTTCTATCCCATGACCAGGTACAGTTTGCTCCAATGATGCAAGAGTGGTCCATATGTAAAACTTCATCCCTGTAACCCACAATATTAACAGACTTATACAGGAAAAACAAATCACATGATCAGCTAGACACAGTGGCGCATGCCTGTAATCCCAACAGCTCTGGAGGCTGAGGCAGGAGGATTGCAAGTTTGAGGCCAGCCTGGGTTACGTAGCAAGACCCTATCTCAAAATAGACAATCAAAAGGGTTGCGGGTGGGGCTCAGTGGTAGAAAGCCCTTGGGTTCAATCCTCAGTGAAGGAGGAGGAGAAGAAGGAAGGGGTGGAGGGAGAGGAGGAGGAGAAGCAGCACATGATCATATTAATGGGTGATCAGAGTATTTGACAAAACTCAACACCCACCAGACAGAAACCCAGCAAATCAGACAAGTGGGGGACTTGATTAAGAACATTTACAAAAGCCCTACAGCAAAATGGTACTTAGCAAGGAGAGACTGGATGCTTTCCATCTAAGACCGGGAACAAGGCAGGATCTCTACTCTCACAGCTCTTAGTCAACATGGTGCTTGGAGTTCCAGCCAGACTAATGAGGTTGAAAAGGAACAAAAGGCACAGATCAGAAAGCAAAAACAGAACTGACCCTATCTGCAGATGACATAATTGTCTATGCAGAAAATCCTACAGAATCTTTAAAATATGTCTGTTGTGCATATGTGTATATATAAAATATTATTTTCTCCTAGAACTTATGATTGAGTTCAGCAAGGTCACAGAATACAAGGTAGACATATAGAACACAATTTCCTTCTTACTTTTTCTTTTCTTACAGTGCTGAAGATCGAACTTAACATCTCAGCATGCTAGGCCAGTGTTCTACCACTGAGCTACATCCACAGCTCCAATTTCTATATGTAACTAATAAACAGGTAGACACTGAAATTAAAAACACCACTTACAACTACACAAAAATAAAGGATTATCTAGGTATAAATCTGACAAATCACTACAGGAGGTATACGCTGAGAACTACAAGACTAATGAAATAACTGAATATCTAAGTAAACGGAGATACACACTTTGTTCATGAATCATGAGACTTGACATGGTTAAGATGCTAATTCTCCCCAGATTGATATACAGGTTCAGCTCAATTTCTATCAAAATCATATGAAGACTTTTTTGTAGCCATATACAAGATTATTCTAAAATTTATACGGAAAGGGCAAAGGAGCTCGAATCAGCTAAGACAATTTTGGAAAACAAGAACAATATATAAGAAATCATACTATCTAATTCCAAGATTTAATATATAGCCACAGTAATTCAGATTGTGTGCTATCGGCAGAGAGATAGAAAAATAGATCAACGGGAGAAAGAACTCTGAAACAGACCTACACAAATATTCCCAGTAGATTTTTTTTGAGTTGGAGTCTCGCTGTGTTGCTCACACTGGTCTTGAACTTCTGGATTTACATGATCCTCCTGCCTCAGCCTCCTGAGCAGCTGGGACCACTCTGCCCAGCTTCTTCCCCACTGTTTTTTGACAAAGGTACAAAGTAATTATGACGCAAATAGTTGTTATACTGGCCGACAGAACAGGACACATGGCGATGGGGGAAGTGTGTGGTACTCCTCCTGACTCCCTGCCGAGTCTTGCTTCAACACTAAGTTGTCCTCTGTGGGTTAAGTTATGAAAAGCAGCACACAGCAGCGCAGACTGGGGTCTGAGCTGAGGCTGAAGGGAGCCACTGGCCCTGGGAGTGAGCAAGGGGAGAGGGCTCCTGGGGGAATATGGCAGCCAACTGCTGCCCCAGGGTGGAGCCCAGGCTGCCCATCATCTTCTTGTGACACTGTTCCCTGAGAAATGCTAACCAACCTTTCTCTGATTCCTGGCACACTCAACAAGTAGAATTTGGTTCCTCTAAACATTCTAATTTTCAAGAAAGCACGATTCTGCAAACATGAGCACCTGTGCTCATTTAATACTAATTTCTGATCATTGTGGATGTGATGGTCTTTGGTGAATGTGATTTACCCGGTTCAGTTCCCAAGGGGTATGAAGTTCACACACCTGGGCCCAGGACTGGGCTGGGAGCTGAGCCCTGGAATGCCAGGCTGTCTGGTTAGGGCTGCTGTAGGGGGGCAGCCCCAGTCTTTAGGCTGTGGGTACCATACCTGCCATCATAGACATGGCCACCTCAGGACATGCTACCTTAAGAAAAGGAGACATGATTTATTCTAGGTGGCCCCCAAGGCAGGCCAGAAGCAGCAGACGGAGACAGGTTCTAGATCCACCCAGACCCTGTCATGGCCATCGGCACTGGCACTGCCTCAGTCATGAAACAGCCTGCAGAGGGACATCACAGTCACCAAACACCAGGGCACCCCGCCTGGCAGCTGGCACACTCGCCTATTAAACCATTAAGGAAGGCGCCCCCATCCTTACCCTTCCCGGTGACTTGGTGTGGATTCCTTTGATCAATGCTGCTTTCCTTAGGAGGAAACCACAGCCTGGAGAACAACAAGCCCACTGCAATGGTCCAGCCTCAAGGCTGAGCCTGGCCTTCAAGCTCGGCAGCCCCTTTTTGCCCAGGTCTTTCTGACCTGGCCCCTTGGGGCCCTGCAGGAGAAGCCTGCTTCTGAGGAGACACAGGCAGGCCTGCCCAGGTCTTCTGAGGACCCAGGGTCCGCGGTGTCTGGTTGCAACTGA